GGATTTTAGCCTGGCTCTGGTAGTAGGCCGGCCCCCCTTGGTATTTTTTCGCACATTTAAAAAAAAATTTGGCAGGGAAAAATAAAAAGGGAGTACCCAAAAGGCGTCCCCGGGCAAAATTTGATTTAAAAAATTACCAAAAGTATATCGGGAATTTGGGCACAATTTGGTTTCTCATTAACTTTATGCCCAAATCCAATTTTAATTCATATGTACCCACTTTTTCCACAAAGCTTTCGAGAAGTCAACAACGGGTGTTCCTTTCGAAGGTCTCTGCTTGGAGCAAACCCAAACAGCCTGCATATACATAATTTAGATCTGTAAAACAGATGTGCATGCAACTCTCAGGTTCTAGAAGAAGTAAGTCCAGAGGTGGGTGAACAGCCAGAACTTTTCTCACCGAAGTCGCTGGTGAAAGCAAGAAAAGTAACTTTCATACAAACCCCAAAATGGCTTACCAATGTAATTCATAAAAACCCCAAAAGGCTCCAAATGTAATCAAAAACACCAAATGGCTCCAATGTAATTTCATACAAACACCAATGGCTACCAATGTAATTCATACAAACACCAATGGCTACCAATGTAATTCATACAAACACCAATGGCTACCAATGTAATTCATACAAACACCAATGGCTACCAATGTAATTCATACAAACACCAATGGCTACCAATGTAATTCATACAAACACCAATGGCTACCAATGTCTTCAGTGAGGTTAATATTCAACCACCCATTAGACACTATATTTACTATTTTAAAACGACCACTGCTTCGGACAGAAGAAGTTGAAGTAATAATTGTTTACTACTTAAAGAAGTGATTGCCATCTATGGTTTATGCATTGCAAACATACCTCACAATTTCAAGGGTTTTGACAACAGCATTAAAAACCAAATGTCTCAAGAGAAATGGCAAACGACGAGAATAAAACCGCCTAGTAACACTACAAACCAAATAATGCAGGAGTCTGTTCTGCAACGTCCTGTAACGGACATGCAAACAACTAACTGGTAGAGTTCAGAAAAACAATATAAATCTTACTTGTCGCCACTGTCCAGCAGCAAACCAGAACAGAAGTCCATCTCCAAGGGACATTCGCAGGGACATTCACATTCTGTTTGCTCCATACGTTTGCAGTTTAGGCACAGACGATCGTACTGCAAACATGCACAAGCAGGTAATGGTAACACAGGATTGAAAATACATTAAATAATATCTTTAGCATTCAGATGAATGAAAGTACATTTTCTCTTCTTGATCCACAACATAAGACTTTTTTTTTTTCTGTAAGGCAGTTAAAAAGCTTCAATCTAGACCCCACCGTCCACACACACAATCACTAGAGAACTCTTTGTCAAAATACGAAGTGGTTTTAAGATTACAAGTGTGACAGAAATTGTAATAACCATGCCACAGTCTTGTAACTTGTTGATATTACTGTTAAAGATGTCAAGAATGTTAAGCATGTGACACCACTGTGCAAACACTTTCAAGACCAGGTCAGTGACACCATTGTGAACAGTCTGTTACAGAAGTCACGTCATGTTGAAACTTTCTACTCCACTGCTGGACTGACAGACATGCATCTCAAAAGTTTGGCAGTCATCTTTAAACTAACATGATGAAGTTGCTGTGTTCATTTGCACCGAGATGTCAAACGCTTAACACCCATGACATTATTTACAAGACAAATGGCATCATTATTGCAATGTCTATCACACTTCTAAGATTTTAATTTGAAATCCTTCTTGTTGCAGGTATAAAGAATTGTCATGTTGTCTAGTGTGTCCTTCTAGCTTCATGTCTTTCTTGTATGACTTACAAGTACCAAGTACAACACAGTTTCTCAACGTAGGCGAGCACACATACAAAAGCACATATGCTGTCTGACAAAAAGAAAGAGAGGCATAGTTATCTGACAGTGCATTTTTATTAGCTGATGGGAAATCCCACACAACTAAAAACTACTGATGACTCCCATGCAAAAGAATGTCAACTGATTGGTTAAACCCAAGGTATTCTTATTTGAAAGCTGCTGAGATGTAGTTTTCTAGATTAATGATGATAATACCCTGGACAGATAAAAAGAGTAACGAGGATGTCTTGAAAGAAACTGACACAAAGAGAACTGATTGCCCACATCAGAGGGAGACAATCTACTTTCTTTGGTCATGTGAAAATATAGGAGTAAATCGTGACAGTAGGAAAGTTGGAGGGGAGGAGAGGCAGAGGAAGACCGAGAGAACAGATGCTGGACAGTTTGACATCATGGCATGGAAGATCATCTGTGTTAGAGCTGATTGAAAGTACACGAGATAGAAGGTTGTGAACAGTCATGACTACCAACGCCACACAGCATTTTTTTTTTAAAGAAGTATACACAACTGGACAGCGAGAGTGACGCCCCCGGGTAGTAGCGAGAGTGATGCCCCTGGGTAGTAGCGAGAGTGATTCCCCTGGTAGTAGCAAGAGTGATGCCCCTGGGTAGTGGCGAGAGTGATGCCCCTGGGTAGTAGCGAGAGTGATGCCCCTGGGTAGTGGCGAGAGTGATGCACCTGGGTAGTAGCGAGAGTGATGCCCCTGGGTAGTAGCGAGAGTGATGCACCTGGGTAGTAGCGAGAGTGATGCACCTTGGTAGTAGCGAGAGTGATGCCCCTGGGTAGTAGCGAGAGTGATACTCACCATGCTGCAAGGACAGAACGCTGTTGCTGTATCACAAGTGTGGTTCACTAGGCCCAGGAAGGTATTGGTGCCAGGGATGTGTGTGATCTGAAACATCAAGAAAAGTGACTTCATCCTGTAGGTTTATGTGGTCAAATGGCATGCAGAAAGAAAGAAAGAAAGAAAGAAAGATAAGAAGAAAAAGGAAGAAAAGAAAGAAAGAAAGAAGAAAGAAAGAAAAGAAGAAAGAAAGAAAGAAAGAAGAAAGAACGAAAGAAAAGAAAGAAAGAAAGAAAGAAAGAAAGAAGAAAGAAAAGAAAGAATAAGAAAAGAAAGAAAGGAAAGAAAGAGAAAGAAAGAAAGAAAGAAAGAAAGAAAGAAAGAAAAGAAAAAGAAAGAAAGAGGGAAAGAAAGAAAGAAAGAAAGAAAGAAAAGAAAGAAAGAAAGAAGAAAGAAGAAAGAAAGAAAGAAAGAAGAAAGAAGAAAGAAAGAAAAGAAAGAAAAGAGGAAAGAAAGAAAGAAAGAAAAAAGAAATAAAGAAAAAGAAAGAAAGAGAGGGATTGGAGTTGATTGGATTTTTACCCGCCACCACCGAAAAAACACTAGGACATCACACAAGCGATAAAACACCCCGTGATGACACAAGTGCCACCATGCGGATGAGGATCACCGTTGGAGAGGTCCCAACAACCCGCGTTTCAGACATTTGGCCATAATGATGACCTGCCTATATTGCGGCCCCTGGCAAAAGCCAGAGTGGAGCTTCAAATAAAAAATTACGTCCTAAGAAGGACGAAGTTTACGATTAAATAAGCAGAAAGAGAGGGAGAGAGAGAGAGACAAATATATATATATATATATGCAGCATGGAGTGACCAGTAGATCCATTCAATACTCAAAACTCAGTAGAAAGGCAGACATACAATCCGCTGATACTAGCACCATGGGAACTGGAACTCTTTACTAGCTGCTGAAAATGGCGATGCAGCACTTATGGGAATACCTTGAGTGTTATGATGGAAGTTTTTAACTAAACTCACGAGAGTTAAAAACAAAGTATACCCCACCTCACAATGTCCAGAACTGTGATCTATCTATATATGTATTTATATATTTTCAGCAGTTCACTTCACTGTAACAGGCAACAAATAACAATGTGCTATCCAACCACAAATTAAAATGTACAAGTGGTTTCTTCTCCTTCTTTGTGCTCACCAGCTGTAAACTCCGGCAGAAAGCACATCAGCTTACAGACCTGGCGTATTCGAATTTAGACTGCTGGTTCCCCGCCACTCAGGAAGATGCACTCCGACTCCGAAGGACACACCCCTAATTAGTTTTATGAACTGCTTATTGGGGGCACTGGGTCCACCCCCCCCCCCCCCCCCCCCCCCCCCCCCCCCCCCCCCTTACTAAGAACCCAAATGGGGATGGAAACAACTGATTTTCCTTGACCTCATGAAGTCTCACTATTTCAAACACCAACATTGCTACACTAGTGTGAATAACCTTGATGTATTTAAGTAAATCATAGCTAGACCAACCTGGTATCTGGCACACTGCTCCCCATGAACCAGGTTTGTGAGTGTCCCAGTGAAAGTTGTATTGAACTGCAGGAGAAAACATACGAGTTTAACATGAACTTAGAAGATGGCCAAATGTGCAACTAAGATCTTCTTCTTCTTTTTCACGTTCACCGGCTGTAAACTTAGGCAGAAAGTTCTGGTTGTTCGTCCACTTCTGGACTCCAGTCTTTTTTCAGAAAATGAGTGTTGAGTGCAAATCTGTTTCACAGGTCTGACTCATTTGCATGCAGACTACTGGTTCCTTGCCTTTCAGGCAGATGTACTCTGACTTCAAAGGAAGTTCCGGATTACAACATGCTTTTGGTCTATTCTTGTTTTTCCTACAATGGGGCCCCTGAACCCACATGGGGATAAGACAACATCAACTGAGTCTTCTTCTTTTTCTGCATTCCAAGGCCTCAAGGTTTTTTACAGCAGATATCACACCTACTCATCTCTGTGACTGGCCTTCGCTTTTCAACTGGAGACTCCCGTTAACAGATAACCTGGCATCTTCATCTTCTTCCCATTCACCAGTTGTAAATCTCCAGCAGAAAGTTCTGGCTGTTCGTCCACTTTGGGACTCTGGTCCTGTTTCAGAACCTGATTACTGCAGGCATGTCCATTTTAACAGGGCTGACACATCTACACATAGACTGTTTGTCCTCCAACTTCGAAGGAAGCGCCCTATTGGTCGACTCTTATGACATGCCTGTGGATCTAATCTTGTTTTCTCCACACTGGGGCACCGGAGCCCAGATGGGAACCATAAAATTACATGCAGAAGCTGACATTAAAATATGTGAACTAATGTGCTTATGTTTGCTCCTTTCCCCCTAAATTATTTTAACTCCTTTACAATAGGGTAGAGCTGTTCAACTAAGTTCATACAGGGGCCAGACTTCAAATGGGGGTCATCATGGGGCCAGTGGCCACAGCCTAGAAAAATCATTAATACAATACAGCTGGCACTGGTCCTGGGCCCAATGACAGGTTGCAGTGGGCATAATTTAGCGTATGGGCAACCAGCTTAACAGCACTGCCACAGGGTATAACAGAACATATTACATTATGGTTATTACCTTTGACATTGAAACAAAAAACACAGCTTATAACAGTGACTCCCAAACTATGCGCCGCGGCACCCCGGGGAGCCACAACCTCTTCACAGGGGCGCCGCAAAATATTCAAAGATACACAGGGTTTTTTGTTTTTATCCCTTACATATGAAGTCATACTTTTACTTAGGTTAGGGCGCCCTGAAAAATTTTTTTAATGAAATAAAGGCGCCACAACTAATGAAAGTTTTGGAAACACTGGCTTATAAGATATTTTCAAGATCTGGTCTATGTGGCTCATTTTTCCCCATCATCTCCATGTGTCTCACTGATAAGCACTGGCAGTCATGTTTTGTAATCTTGCAACAATCACCAGAATCATGGATCAGGCCAGTGCACCTCTAATCGCATCCATATGGCCCAGCAATCCAGGTATTTATGTCCTTGCCTTTCCCTTGCCCCTTTTCCCATCAATCTTACCAGTTGTAATAAATTTCTTGAGTCCATTCCTCCTCGTAAGAAGTCAACACAAACACCAAGACTGTCTATGTCTAATCTCTCTAAGCCAGTGATTCTCAAACTGTGCACCGCAGCGCCCCCGGGGAGCCGGGACCTCTTCACAGGGGCGCTGTGAAATATTGTAAAAGCTTGATAATTAATATAAATAAGACATTAATAGTCATACTTTTACTTAGGTTAGGGCGCTGTGGACACATTTTAATTTAAAAAAGGCGCCACGACCAAGAAAGGTTTGGGAAACACTGGTCTAAGCTGTTTATGGTTTACAGCTGTCTCAGGACCGCCTCTATTTCCATAAAGAGGTGTGTGAAGAAGGAGGCTCACAAGGAAGAATCTGCAGACACTGCACAGTTCCATGATATGCATGCATTCAACACTCACCAGAAAGTATCTTTGCACTGTACGGTCATTGTATCGATTACACAGCCTCTTCTGCACAAAGCCCCGATGGTTCAAGATATCATTAGCCACCAGAGGCTCCTACAAATAGGATGAGAAATAAAAACGTCACAAACATCTCCACACTGAAGTGTCACAGGTAAAATATTGAGATTCATATAATAAATACATCAACAATACTGTTATTTGTCCTGACCATGAATTCAGTACTACAGACATTACTTGATGCCTGTATCGACACCCTAGCACATCAGACTAACCTAACTGTGCTCCGTCCTCAGATGCAGCAGCCATCTCAGTGTCTCCATTACATCGTAGCCAATAGGAGTTGACTGGCATATTTTGGTTCATGACACCACAACCCGTTTCAGCGTGCTTGTCCTAATTCAATATCCATTTCCAACAGGCAGTTTTTCGTCTCGGACTCATATCTTAATGTCTCTGGAATGCAGAGGCGGGAGCTTTGGATGCTGTAAACCCAATCTAGTTGAAGATAGTTTCTTGAGGTGGCACCTTTGGATGCTGTAAACCCAATCTAGTTGAAGATAGTTTCTTGAGGTGGCATTTTTGGATGCTGTAAACCCAATTTAGTTGAAGTAAGACAGTTTCCTGAGGTGGGACCTCTGGATGCTGTAAACCCATTCTACTTGAGGTAAGACAGTTTCCTGAGGTGGGACCTCTGGATGCTGTAAACCCATTTTAGTTGAAGTAAGACAGTTTCTTAAGGTGGGACCTCTGGATACTGTAAACCCATTTTAGTTGAAGTAGGACAGTTTCTTGGGTGTAGAGTAAGAGTAACTACTTGTTTTAGCAGGGCAAACACATTTATTTTCTTCACTGAATTCAGCTGTTATTTTAGTAACACACCTGGCAAGATACAGCGAAAAGTGCCAGGTAATCAATTGTGTCATCTATTTTCTGTGTGTTTAAATTTAGTCCTTGAGGGCTGACTAGTCTATATGTGGTTGCCCTGGATGGGTTTTTCCACAGGCAAGAGATGTAGATAGAGAAAAAGAGGATACCACACAAACAAGGTTACATTATGTCCCACGAAACCAACTGAGAAGGTTAAACTGGTGAACAAATGCCAGATAAGTCGGATGTGTCAGTCGAAAGACACAAATGTCAAAATGATGAAAACCAGTACAAAGTCATTAGGTCACTCGGGTGAATGATGAAGAAGTAGCAGTAGTTTACATATCACTCTGGGAAACGAAGAAGTAGCAGTTTAAATTTACATGTCACTCTGGCGAACGATTAAGAAGTAGCCGTTTAAATTAACAATCAGGAAACCCGTCTTCTGACATATTTATGAATCAAACCAACCAACCATATGAATGAAAAAAGTTCAAACACAACAGCATACCATATGTGTGATGTGTCTCTGTTCTGCTGGACCTTTCCCTGTCGGATCAATCAGCCCAGGATGGGCAATGAGATAGCCTCTGTCATCCATCAAAAAGCACCTGTGAGCAATAAAATCCCAATATACAACAAATCTATGGCCCAAAAAAAAAATTTAAGTGGAATTTTTTAACAAACACAACACCATTTGTTCCTATTAAAAACATGTTTAAAAAAAACATAGTCTTGTTTAATTACAGCTCTTTACTCCCAGTCCACCAAACTGTCCTTGTGTCAACAACTGACGTTTTAGTAGCTGTCCACGTGTCAGTAGCTGTCCACGTGTCAGTAGCTGTCCACGTGTCAGTAGCTGTCCATGTATCAGTAAATGTCTATATGTCAGCAGCTGTCCATATGTCATTAGCTGTCCATATGTCAGTAGCTGTCCATATGTCAGCAGCTGTCCATATGTCAGTAGCTGTCCATATGTCAGTAGCTGTCCATATGTCAGCAGCTGTCCATATGTCAGTAGCTGTCCATTTAAAGTAACTGTCCATGTGCCGGTTCACTGAAATAATCATTAATCGTTCTGTTTCAGTTAATTTTACCAGCCATTATATTCCAATTTGCTTTCTTTCATTAAGTATGTCTGTGAAAATTTATTTGAGGTTATTTTATTAATTAGAGGTCAAAAAAAGTTGGCCAATCAGTGAAACATTATGTCGACGAGGTGAATACATGGTTTTATAGATGAATGATGAAAACATTCTGGACAGATTAAAAAGAATAATGAAAATCTCCTACCAGAAAAAGACTCACGAAGAGAACTGACTGCCTAATCAAAAGAAAGAAAGAAAAAGAAAGAAAGAAAGAAAGAAAGACAGACAGACAGACAGACAGACAGACAGACAGACAGACAGACAGACAGACAGACAGACAGACAGACAGACAGACAGACAGACAGACAGACAGACAGACAGACAGACAGACAGACAGACAGACAGACAGACAGACAGACGACAGACAGACAGACAGACAGACAGACAGACAGACAGACAGACAGACAGACAGACAGACAGACAGACAGACAGACCGACCGACCGATAAGCCGCCGACCGACCGAACGCCGACCGACCTACCGACCGACCGACCGACCGACCGACCGACCGACCGACCGACCGACCGACAGACAGACCGACAGACAGACAGACAGACAGACAGACAGACAAGAAAGACAGACAGACAGACAGACAGACAGACAGACAGACAGACAGACAGACAGACAGACAGACAGACAGACAGACAGACAGACAGACAGACAGACAGACAGACAGACAGACAAGAAAGAAAGCTATGAAGCCCTATCTCTCACCTGATGCCTTTGTGCTCACAGATCTTGATATGGGTGGCCAACAGCTTGTGAAAGTAACCAAGAGTGATGTCCATCCCCATCACAGCAACAACTTTATCCAAGGGACTGTGCAAAGCTGCTGGTCTTTACAGAAACACAACCATCATGTCCGTACATTATCTTTCAACAATTTTATTATAAACTCATAACACTGCCACAGTAAGTAAATGACTCTTCTTAGGCTAGTGGCACACTGGATTTATGATGTGACGATTACACTTTTATAGAATACCTGGCATTTGATGGGTAAAGGGATTGAAGATCCCATCTCACCTTGACCTTTCCTAGTACACATTTTTAGGTTGGACTGACCTGAGAGCCAGGTTTAATTATCAAAAGAGAAAGAGGGGGGAGGGGGGAGTGAGTGGGGGGGGGGGGGAAGAGAGAAGAGAGAGAGAGAGAGAGAGAGAGAGAGAGAGAGAGAGAGAGAGAGAGAGAGAGAGAGAGAGAGAGAGAGAGAGAGAGAGAGAGAGAGAGAGAGAAGATAATGAACCAGGTGGAAAAGAAAGAGAGAGGAGTAGAAAAGATAATTGAAACATATGTGGAAGAGAAAGGTGAAAGAGAAGTTGAGAAGCGAAAGAAATAGGGACAGAAGAAAAGAAGAGAGAATCAGAATAGACAGGTTTAGAAGATGAAAGAATTAGAAGAGTGAAAGAAACAGAGGCAGGCAAATCAGGAAAAGAAAGGTAGAAAAGGGAGAAGGTAGAAAGAATATATATACATATATTCAAGATCTGATCTTCAGAATTTATTTTCCATTATCATCATCTTCATCACCATCATGTGCCCTGCTGACAAGCACAAGCAGTTATGTTTCGCAAATTTGGCAACTATCACTAGAATCATGGATTAGGTCAGTTTCTTTTGAGTCATAAGAAAAAGAAGATGAAATTAGAGGAGGGCAGGAAAGAATAAAAAGACAATACGTACACACCGAAGACATACAAAAAGAAGCGAACAAGAGAAAACAAAGACAAAAGACAAAAAAAAGGGGGGGAAAGAGGGGAAATGTGAGAGATAAATAGACTGAAAGTAAAGATGATACCAAGATATAAAAGGAAAACAGACAGAGAAGACAAAGAATCCACTTCTTAAAATCCATGCCGTGTGGCGTTGGTAGTCATGTCTATCCACAACCTTCTGCCTCGGATACTTTCCATCAACTCTGACACAGATGATCCTCCATGCCATGATGTCTAACTGTCCAGCATCTTCTCTCTCAATCTCCCTCTGCCTCTTTTCCCTCTTACTCTTCTGTGTGTTCACAGGCTGTAAAACTCTGACGGAAAGTTCTAGCTGTTTATCCACTTCTGGACTTTAGTCTTATTCCTGAACTTGAGCTATGCCATGCAATTGCATTTCACAGATCTGTCTTATTTGTATGCAGACTTTTGGTTATTTGAATCTCTGGTAGATGCACTCCAGCTTTAAAGAAAACCCTTTAATTAGTAAACTTTTATGACATGATTGTAAGGGAGGAATAGGGGGGGGGGGGGGGGGGGGGGGCAATGAGGCTCCAAAACCCCCACATGGGGTTTTTCCCCTCCAACTACCCCACCATCATTATGTGACAAAAATACAATAGCAGAGACAAACAACAAAGAAAAGACCATGCTGAATATTCCGCCTCACACGGTAAGTACAGTTAAGGACTTCTTTCCACGCTTCAGGCGTATGAGGCATATAGTAGCAGACTTTCATTTTACAGACCAATCGGCACTCAAATGGGTGATGTGGTCAGCATCATGCCGGCTGCCTTTACTTCCCAGGACTATACCTGGTACCCACTGAAGGCTGGGTCAACCTGGGAGCCAAAGTCATTTCTGAAAACAGTCTGGCTCCATCAGGACCTGAACCCACCCACCTCCGATCCGCAGGCGAGCATCTAGCCACTACACGACAGCAGTCCCATCTAACACAGTAGTCATCCATCACTGAATGGTCAGTTGCAGCCACTAACGTCAAGTGTGGACACAGTCCACTTGTACTTACTTTCCTTCAAAGATTGTATGGCTGATGGTGACAATGTATCCTGCCCCACCTACATCCAAATATGGTGCCGACAGGGTCACATGGCCTGGGTACTCCATCGCTCTATTGTACCTGGTGTGGGGGAAAATGCATACATTTAAAATTGTGTGTATTCTCTCGCTCTCTTTCTACGCACACACGAACATGTGCACACACGTATCTCTCTCTCTCCCTCCCTCCCTCCCTCCCCCTCTCTCTCTCTCTCTCTCTCTCTCTCTCTATCTCTCTCTCGATCTCTCTCATCTCTCTCTCTCTCTCTCTCTCTCTCTCTCTCTCTCTCTCTCTCTCTCTCTCTCTCTCTCTCTCTCTCTCTCTCTCTCTCTCTCTCTCTACTGCGAAGAAGTGAAAGGCATTGGAAATGTTGCATGGAGTTGGAAACAGAAATCAGCAATGAGGACATGGAAGTACTGGGTGTGAGACAAGATAAACAACTGAGTAATAATAAGGAGATGAGGTCACACACACAAATTTCAAATTTTAAAAAAAATTGGAGGTATGTACATGTGATGCTTGTGTGTTACTGTGAGGGAAGAAAAACAAGAAAAGGGGGGAAAAGGGGAAGATAGTATGAAGGAAAACTAAGTGAACACGAAGAGCGAAAGAGGATGAGAGAGAAATGAGACAGCGAAAATTAACAAAATATTTGGTAAAGGATTAAAAGGTTAGTTGTATGTTCTTCACAGGACACTGCAGAACCAATCCCAAAATTTTTTTGTTTTGTTTTGCCCGTCGTCAGTTTTTCTAGGCAAAGTCACATACAGTAGTATGCAACTGCCCTCTAAATGGCTGGCTCTTGATATAACATGAAATCAGCCTATGGCTGCCAAATCGCCAGCAGCTAGGATTGAGCCCAGCACTACAAAGCACGTTTACAAGGCCTAAGCCAGAGATGCCCTGTGAAAAAAAAAGGAGGAGAACAAAAGGAAGGAAAGCAGAGGATATTCATAAAAACAACATCAATTAGTTAACAGCCATCTTACCATTCTCTTTTTGTAGGATCATACATTTTGTCCAGAAGGGTTCCAGGAAAGGTACGTAAAACTCCGCTAGGCGTTGCCACATATCTAAGGAAAGACAACAGAAAATGACTTCAGAATAAGTTTGCAGCCTTTAAAAGTGTGTTTTTTTTTTTTTTTTTTTTAATACCACTGTAGTATTTCGGAATATAAATGCTCAATAGCTGTACATTAGGTTCAAAAGAATCCACACACTCACATGTCACTGCTCGTTTTATCAGTGTAAAGTATCACAAATGCAAATCTAATGCTGAATTTAAGAATCGACATCAAAGCACATGGGGCACTCCCATGCGCGCTCCCTCCACATCTTTAGCAGCAAGAAAGGGTTTTCATTCCTATGGTACCAGTAACTGTCTGATTGTACATCCATTCTTCTCTTGAGTGAAGGTCACCCTTCCCTTGAGTGTTGAGCATCAGTGGAATGAACCGTGGCTTGCCACATCTCTTGAGATGTACCTTGGCTTACTGCGTATTGGCTTTCACCATTGTTCACTCTCTATGATTACTTCAACATAACTACTTGCACTGCTCTAACGTCTAGGACTGAAAACACAAATGCTGCTCAGCTTCCTTGTACATGCTGTCAGTTTATTCTGTTGCATTTATTCAACATGCTCCAACAATTATTCACACTTCCATCGCTTGTGACATATTTAAACACTAGTCATTCACGCGACATAAGAACTACATCATCTATTAACACAACCGTCTTCTACGACTTCTGGTAAGCAACTGACCACGAGTCTAGCTCGGGCCTGCCCATGTCTACTCCACTGGCTCTCGTGCGGTTGTTTGTCGCATGAATTTTGCTCTCTGTGTGCGTGGAGACCATGCAAAGCAGGGTCATCACAGTCAGCCAGGTTCCCTGGTAACTCTCCAATGGGCCATTCTCCTCAGACCGTAATGATCTATTTCTGCCTCCAACTCACTCTCAAAGGTCCCTCACAACATCTAGCTTGTCTTCCATCAATTCCACAGAACCGGCCAGTCTATGTCTCTGCTCGTTTCCCAACACACCAGCATATTCCTTATGATTTCACAAAATTTCTGATTTTTTACAGTCAAATGCCTTTGAATAATCCACAAAACATGAGAATAGGTTTACATTAAATTCTCTGGACTTCTCTATTATTAAACGCATGTTGAGGATGTTATCTCTTGTTCCTCTTCCTTGTCTAAATCCAGCTTGAACCACATTAATCTCTTCTTCCATTTTCTTACAAAGTCTTCCATTATGATTTTTAGTAGAATTTTACTTGTATGACTGATCAGGGCAACAGTTCTATAATTGGTGCATCATTTCAGGTTGCCCTTTTTTGGTTTTGGAATAAAGATAGTTCTCTTCCAATCATTTGAGCATATACCATATTGACATATCTTTTTACATAATGTGTGATAGATCTGAATGCTTTCTTCCCCTCCCGCTTTAATTAGTTCAGCTGCTATCTCATCACATCCTGGTGATTTACCATTCTTCACCTTCTTCATTGCCCTTGCAATTTCATCAAATGAAGGTTCCAGTTCTGTCTCTACTGTCACTGGTTTATTTATATCATTCATATCCTCACAGTCATTCATATCATACATTCCACTGCAGTATTCCTGTCATGTTTCCAGAATTTGTCTAGATTCTGTCAAGGTATTGTCAAGGAACACCTTGTTACCACTAGAAAGAAGTGGAAAAAGATGACATATGAAGACAAAATCAGACAGCCTTTTGTCTTGGCATGGAGGGGTGTCAGCACAGACCGATACAATCTGTTGAAGATCGCAGACTAAGGATTGGCATGATCACCCACGCCAGTCGGCAAGACACTACAGGAGGATTATGCACTTGATAATATATAGCACAATATTCCAGATAACAAACTGTGCAATCTATTGCTTGTCTTTTCTGTGTTCAGATTTACAACTGCTTTGATTTTCTAAGACTCGGCCACAGACAAATGGAGAGGGCACTAGAACAGAAAATAACTATATGTTAAATGCGCTGTCTCCACAAGGTCACTAACAAAACAAAGCGAGACGGGGTTATAAATACCAGCATTAAAGTGAAAGTTGGAATAAGACCATGTCTGGATTATACTGACAAAGAATGAAATGGTTCAGCCATTTAGTGAGACTGCAGCCGCCAGACCAAACTGCATATGAGACTTTTCCAACAGACCATCTGGGAGGAAGGCAAGAGAAGGACCAGCAAAGGTGCAGATAGATGGTGTAGCAGAAACATGCAGAAAATATAAACAAATTCATCACCCAAGCCACATGAGAAGCACAGGACAAATATAGAAAACCAAGACACTGGGCTACAACCTGGTATCAATGAGACAACCAAAAGAAGAAGAAAGCCATTGACCCACCTTCTGACAATGTAATCGTTGAAGTCGCTGGCCTTGTGTCTCCTCAACCACTCCTCACTGATTCTGCCAGTCGCTGCAACATCGTTACGCACCTCAGTCTGTTTTGAGAAAGAGATGCAATGTTAACTAACCTACCATACACCTTGTGAGGATTCCAGAGGCCCATTTGGGTGAAGGAGGGGTGGACTGACTGTCCCCGTATAAGAATGGCATAAAAGACGAAAAATTAGTAACTTGCTTAAACTTGACGAGTAGGATCAACAGGCACAGATATCGCAGCCTAGCTGCAAACCAGACCACAACATTAAACCACCCTTTTAAGAGTCACTATACAAGGGGGAGAAGGGACTAATCATAAAGACTTCAGTAAAGGTTGTCCTAGGTCATATTTCAGGACCGAAATGGACAATGAAAACTATATGAACAAAATTTATTACTGGAAAGCTCTTCTCCTTTTTTATAAGGGCAGCTGGCGCATAGTATTTCAGAAAGTAATGCCTGAAATATTGTTTCTCAGTCTTGTCTTGTCTTGTCTTGTCCACAATTGTCTCACAGCGTAGTGGGGAGTCGCAGTTTTTCTATCCTGGGCCAGGTGTGTTGCACGTGTTGTTGTTAGTCCGTGTTGCCTCAGGATCTCTGATATATTGTCTATAACGTGGCTGTTTTCGTATTCCTGCGTGACCTCTTTGTGTTTACTGTGTTTAATGGCGGGCTGGTTGTCAAGCCCTTCGTCCTCCGATCTTTGATGGACTTTTTCATACTCCTGATCGTATCTGCGGTACTTAATAGCATGTTAATGTGAACTTTCACTACCCGACCGGTTTGCTGGACCTGTCATAGTATCATTGTAGAAAGAACACAGTTTAATCCAAAAAGAAATCACATTAAACACGTCACTGAAATAACATGACCGATCACGCCGCCATTTTTTCTCAGTAAATCGTTGAATACAAAAAAATCACATTGTAGTTTAAATCTGAAATGTTATATACGCAACAAAAGCTTCACTCAACACTAAGTGAGAGAGTGAGGACAATGTTTGCTACAAACAGCAAATGCTGTAGAAAGTGTTTCACAGACAATTAAAGCAGTAAACATTCAAAAACCTTTGTGTGCAGTGGGTAGGAACTTCTGCAACTGAAAAAGCATTGATTGCTGAATTCAGAGTTGAAGTTTCAGAGACTACAGAGATAGACTTGAGAGTTTTATTCACGCTCTGAATAAATGTCTATGTGAACATAAAAGAAATTTGTTTAAACTTAGTAAGTGTGCATGATGTTATTTCCCTAAGGTCATATAAGTGGATGCAGATTTTATAGACAATTCTACTTAAAGAACACAATGAGTTACACTGTCAGTGAGTTTATACATTTTGCGCTAATAGTTTCTAGAGCAAAAATAAGAGCCTTACTTTCAGAATGCCCCTCATAATTTTACACACTTATTCAGAAGTTTCTGGTTTGGTGACAAGAGGAAATAACCGGCAGTACTGTTGAAAGCATTTCTATGAGCAATGGATGCCTCTCTGAAAGCCAATGCCACTGGGGTGTACACAACAAGTACTGGATTTTCTAATCTTTATATGTTAGGCTGTTTGCCCTTAAGAAACCACAAAACCAACACTTCCGGCTGAGTCCTTGTCCGTGTTAAGGTCACTTTTTCAACTTGTCTACAAAGACCTGCTTAGGAGACAAACATTAATGCAACTGGCTATTTTTGTGCCCTCGTAAACGTTTAGGCCAGGATATGAAAACATTAACTAAAACTAGCATTTAATGGAGTTTTTCTAGGTTACATAGCTTCTTCAAATCCAAGCTGATGTCAAATTTTCCCGTGACCCTCAGTGATGGACAGGGGGTCATGGTACAAAGTTTCTTAAGGCCCTAGAAAATGTATTCCACTTTATGCATCACCCTGGTTGTGTTTACTAATTACTCCCTTCATACATCTTTACCTATTTGGGAAGGGGGGGAGGGGGCGGGGGGGGGGGGGGGGGGGGAGGGGCAGATAAACTGTTTACAAATTTATTAGTTCTCTGCATTGGAAACAAAATTTCGATTTTTTTTTTTCCCACTAGGATTTCAAAAAGGTTTGTGAGTCTTTTTGTATGCGTGCGTGCATGTTTCCACACTAAGAGGATTAACTACTTCCTATTTCAGCATTCTCTCTCTCTCTCACACAGAGAGAGAGATGGAGAGGGAGAGAAGGGGAGAGAGAGAGATGGGGGGAGGAAATAGGATTAGGCCTAGGTTAGGTCACAGTTGCAGTTTATTTTTTCACTGCCTTGAGACTACGACACAATAATAAGAGGGACTTGCACAAACATTCATTTTTTAACAATGGTTTTTGAACTTTCTTGTTGAGACCAGACAGATTTCAAACTCAACAGCCGGCATACCTTCAGTCCTGGGTTAGTAATCAACCTGGTATCATCCTTGAGGTAGGCGATATAGCTCTGCACCGACCTTTTTGTCTCCTCTTCACTCAAATGCTCAAATGGGTTAAGGAAGCTGTTTGCTGACAAGAACACCGTGGTCACATCTAGTTTCAAAAAAAAAAAAAAAAAGACGTGTTCATATATTAATAAAACAGATGACTCACAGAGCTGGTTAAGAAAGGTGGAGACAGGCATGCTCCATGCAGAGTGGCAAGCATCACTTCAAAGGTCCCGGGTAGTTAGTATCCTTGGTATATTTTCTCCAGGTTATGCCGGAGTATTGGGAAATGAGCAGGCAGATAGACTGGCCAGTTCTGCATCACTTGGTGGCGAACTGATGCATGACAAGCTGGATGTTGTGAGGTCCCTTTGGGAGCAAATGAACAGTGCCGAGGAACAGACAGATCATTATGGTATGCAAAGAATGGCCCTGCGAGGAAGTTACAAGGGGATCTGGCCGAAGCTCAACACTCAAGATGGATATACAATCAAGATAGCTGCTCGTACCATCGGAATTTTAACTCTTCGCTTGCTGCTGAAGATGGGGACGGAGCGCTTCTGGGGGTGTCCCGAGTGCTGTGATATTGATTCTTAATTCAACATATAAAACAAACTTAAAACCCGCTGCTATACACAAACTTGAATTAGAAATGATATAACACCACATACAAAAGCTGATAATGCAGGCTGCTCCAATACATTCATTTTAAAAACATCTAGCTTATCTTAACTCTTTGAGTCCCAAGGAACGCATCATCGTTCATAGATTCCTACCTACAAGCCCACTGAACGCAAGATGTGCCGATTTTATGTCTTTCTTGACTACCCCTTACATTCTACTAGGCCATCAGATGAACGCAGGGTTTATTTTCTGGACCCCCCCCCCCCCCCCCCCCCCCCCCGAGTCGGACACAGAACAGCCTCTAGGATAGGAGACTAGCTAAAGTGCATTCAACTTCATCGAATCAACGCCGTTCGGATTTTCACCTTTATTTTTCGGCAACAGACAATATCTGTGTCGGGCCCTCAAGGAAAAACACTTGACAGTTTTGATGCCCTGCAACACACCAACTACCTATATTACAGTATAGAAGCATTGTTGAACATTTTCCCTCCTGGAGGAATTAGTCATTTAGTGATCTCTCTCTCTCTCTCTCTCTCTCTCTCTCTCTCTCTCTCTCTCTCTCTCTCTCTCTCTCTCTCTCTCTCTCTCTCTCTCTCTCTCTCTCTCTCTCTCTCTCTCTCTCCTTCTCCTCCTCCCCCTCTTTATCCCTATATATTCTTGTATGTGTACATGTGCCTCTTTCTCCCTCTCTACTTTGATGTGGGAGTACCTGTAAACTGTTAATTACTGTTATTTCTTGTCACAATTATTATTGGTATGTGCAAGTGTTAGTAAGCATGTATACATAAAAATAGCATTTTTTTTTTTTTTAATGTATGCTGGAACATATGCACGGGCTAATGTTATATGACAGAAAAATGACAAATTTTGTACACCAATAACACACAGGTGTCAACATGTAGGGAGTCGGTTGTCCAGAACCCAAGTTTAAGGCGTTTCCTTCGTGCCAATAAACTGCATGGCTGTCGGGGAGCACAGTCGTTAACGAAGGCAGTCATGATGTACAGGAGCGACATCTGGCTGATGGATGTTGCGTCCCTAGTTCCTTCCCCAGCACGAGGCTCTACTGGGGTGACCGTTATTAAACCCTCACTTTTGTATTAATTAAACCCTGGGCAGATGAAGCTCAAAAGCCCTGAAAGGCAATTCATCTACGTGAAGGACACACCGAATGCCAAACCACCACTGCCTTGTGGGAAGTTCCTGTAAGAACAAAGGCTAGGGCAACAAAGCCTGACAGAAAATGTGAGTGAGTAGGCAGAACTCATAAGCCCTGGAAGGCAATCAGCCTATGGGAGGGGGAATCCTGAAAAAAACCTCAACCGTCAAAGTCGGAAGATGTCAGCCTGCTTGGCACGGGACTAAAAATCGGGCATCTACGCACTAGCGATATGGTCATGCAAACAAAATTATCACGTTATGGTGTCATTCCTATGGGACGTGGACGGGTAGGGATGGCGCCGGGCCCTCAGCCTCGAGGGGGCCCACCCCAAGCTACTAGAGCCACAACCTCTGAATCTTCTGGAGTGACCAGGGAAGAACAGAGTAATGCAACTGGACACAAACTGACAATTATGCACTGGAATGCTGAGGGAGTGAGGCTGAAGAAAACTGAACTACACAATTTCTTGAAGCAGCACGATATTGACATATGCTGCATCCAAGAGACTCACCTCACAAGTGCACACAGATTCTCTATCAGGGGATACCAAATCTTCCGACACGACAGGTTAGATCGTCCAAAAGGAGGAGTCTTGACTGCTGTCAAGAACACGATCACAGCTTGGGAAACCCAGAGATCTCAGTGTGGGGATACAGAGTTTATCACAGTCACTATCAAGGGTGCAAGGGAAGATGTGACAGTATGCAACATCTACTCACCACCAAACAGAGATATTAATCTGGGACCCATCCTACTAAACACAGAAAACTGGATTGCTGTCGGAGATCTAAATAGCCACTCACCTAGCTGGGGCTACACAGACCTCAATGCGAAAGGAGAAGAGGTAGAAAACTGGATAATCAGCAACACTCTAGTTCTGATAAATCATCGTGACGACCCAGACACATTCTACTCTCGAGCTTGGAGGAAAACCAGCACTCCAGACTTGGCTATAGCAACTGAAGATGTGGAGAAAGTTACCAGCCGGGATTTATGTCAACAGCTGGGAGGCAGTGATCACAGGCCCGTAATCCTTTCTATTAACAAAAGTAGAGAAGTTACTAAGGAAAAGAACCCTCCCAGCTGGAACTACAAGAAGGCTAACTGGAGCCTTTTCACTTCCTATTTGGACGACATGTTGAGGAGAGTCTTCTTCAGAAGACTGGAAATAAATGCCAAACTGAAGATCCTGAACACAACTATTCTAAATGCAGCCAAGGGTAACATACCACGAGGCAGCAGGAAAAACTTTAAACCTTACTGGTCGCCTGAACTGGACACTCTGCATTCCAAACTTAGTACCAGGAGGGAAAATATGGAGAAGGATCCGACAGATAAAAATGTAATACTTCATAACAGAGCAAAAGCAGCCTTCGTCAGAGAGAGAAATAATCAGATGAGGGAAAGCTGGCACAAAAAGACAGCGTCATTTAACCTCGGTAAGGACACTTCACGTCTGTGGAATCTCACAGAAAGCTTGAATGGAGACAAGACGGAAAAAGCCAGAGTTGTACTCCAAACAGACGATGGATCGTTTACTGGCAAGGTAGCAGCAGATGTGCTAGCCGAAACACACCAGAAAGAAACTGAGGTTCATATTCCCATGCAAAGAATAAAAGAAGTACGAAACCAGACCAAGACTCTTCTAGCAGACTTTAGCACAAAAACAAAAGAGACCTGCATGTCAGAAAGGTTTACCATGCGGGAGCTGGAAGTTGGAATTGGAGAGTTGAAAATGAAGAAAGCCCCAGGGGCTGACGGCATTACAAACGAATTTCTCTCTCATCTTGGACCTGCTGCCAAGAAGTTTCTCCTCTGCATCTACAACCAGAGCTGGCAAAAAGGGGTAGTACCGTCAGCCTGGAAGGAAGCCCTCATCCAGCCTATCCTTAAAAAGGGTGGGAACAGAAGAGACCCAAAAAGCTACAGACCTATTAGCCTTCTTAGTTGTGTAGGAAAATTGATGGAGAAATTAGTAAATAAAAGACTAATATGGTTCCTGGAGACGAACTCAGTAATCACCACCACCCAGACAGGATACAGACAGCACAGAAATACAGAGGACCAGTTGACATATCTGACACAGGAAATTGAGAATGCCTTCCAGGAAAAAAAGAAAGTTCTTGCTGTCTTTTTTGACCTCTCTCGTGCTTTTGATACAGTTTGGAAAGAAGGCCTACAACTAAAACTGCTACAGGCGGGAGTTGTGCACAACATGTACAAGTGGATCAAAGACTTTCTTTTCCAGCGCAGAGCCAGATTCAGAATTGATGGACACATTGGCAAACTGGCAGAACTTGGAGAGGGAGTTCCCCAGGGCAGTGCTATATCACCAACTCTGTTCCTGGTTTACATTAATGATATCACAGCAACCTGCCACCAGCATGTTTTTAATACCCTACATGCCGATGACTTTGCAGTTTGGACAGCCTCCGAATACACTACCACAGCCTCATATCTGTTATAAAAAACTGTGGAAAATGTAGAAGCCTGGACCGAAAAGTGGGGTCTAAAACTAAATAAATCAAAAAGCACAGCATCACTTTTCTCTCTCTCCCCAAAAAAAGAAAAAATCGAAATTTGGATTAAAAACCAGCTCATCTGGGCGTTACACTTGATTCGCGACTAACTTGGAAGTCACATGTAGAAGCAGTACAGGGAAAAGCTTTTAATAAGCTTGCAGTGATGAAAAAATTAGCGGGTACCATATGGGGCGCTAACTCTAGAATCTTAAAACAAGTATATACTGGAGCAGTCAGGCCAGTCATGGAATATGCCTCCACTGCATGGTCTGCAGCAGCCACGACAACAATGGGAAAACTGGACAAGGTTCAGAATATGGGATTAAGGATTGTTCTCGGAGCCATGAAAACCACCCCCATCAGAAAAATAGAAAAGATAGCAGATACTGAACCACTCGAACTCAGAAGACAATACAAAACTCTTTTACAGTATGAGAAATTAAAAAGACTTCAAAGTCACCCACTGCATTTTAAATTTCAAGAGAGAACAAAAAACAGACTGAAGCGTCAGAGCCCCAACCACCTTGCTAGAGAACTGTACAGACAGCACCAAGATCTGCTTGAAAGAGATGTTGCACTGTGCGAAAAACTTAGGCCAGAACTATGGACAAGCAAGCCAGAGAAAGCAAATGTAGTCCTAAAGGTACCAGGAATCACTTCAAAAGATGCCCAGACGGAGACACAACAGAGAACCCTGGCTCTTGCTATGCTTAATGAGAAGTATCCAAACACCACTTGGACTCAGGTTTTCACCGACGGCTCTGCTACAGATGCAGTCAGAAAGGGGGGTTGTGGAATTTACATTAAACCCCCTAGCAGTAGAGCAGAAACTCTCTCTCTACCAGCAGGTGACATCTGCACTAACTTCAGAGCTGAGGCAACTGCCCTCCTCTCTGCAGTCCAACATCTCATCAATCAAGAACACAGAGGGCACCAAATTGTTATACTTAGCGACTCATTGTCTGTTCTCCAAGCACTATCCAGCAAAAAACAAGACAAAATAATTGCTGATCTAAGGACCAACATTGGCTTACTCTCCAAGGAAGCAGAACTGGTCTTGCAGTGGATACCAGCCCACTGTGGTATTCAAGGAAATGAGAGAGCAGATGAGTTGGCAAAAACTGGGAGTAATCTTCCACAACCTCATCCACCACACAGCTACAAGGAAACCAAAACAGCGCTAAAGCAGTCTTTCAAGCGGGAGTGGAGAAGGCAGAATGGAGATTACAGACCAGAGAGTGACAGCATAAACAAACTCAACAGGAAAGAACAAACATCAATTCTTAGACTTCGGACTGGACACTGTGGTCTTCGAGCACACTTGTACAGGATAGGCATAAAAGAATCTGCTGCCTGTGATTGTGGAGCAGAAAGACAAACCCCTGAACACATACTGCAGTACTGCCCTTACCTCTCCCAGCAAAGACTGTGGATCTGGCCCAAAGGAGCCACATTGCAAGAGAAGCTATGGGGGACCGGTGGCGACCTTAAACGCACAATCCTATTTGTGACCCAGACGGGACTCAATGTTTAGCATGACTGATATCGAACGCAGAAGAAGAAGAAGACTACCCCTTGGGCCTGTGATGCTAAACCCCCGGGCCTATTTGTATGCACTGTTGGTCTTTGCTTCTTGGTCAGAAGCACTCTGACTTAGAAGGAATTCTCCCCGAATCAGTCAACTCCTCTGACAACATGCTTTTCAGTGGGAGCAGTGGATCTAGTACTCCAAAATGGCGCCTCAGAACCCCCATGGAAAATTCACAACAGAGGATTGTGATACTGATTCAAACATGGTCTGAGGGCTTTAGACACACAAACTCAGCTCTTACCTGGTGTGGCCAGCTGCTTCAGGTGGTAGCACATCTTGTCATTGGGAAACAGATCCAGTCTGTGGTACAACAGCTCTGGCTGACTGTGCACTGTTAAAAGACAACATAGATCATAATAACAGCCTGCTCATTTAAATGTTTTTACATTGTAACTACTGTACTTCTTTTTCTTCCCCTTAACAAAAGACTACTACTGACAAATTTCCCCCCCCCCCCCCCCCCCCCCATTAATGGATTCAAATTTACTACTGTTTGAGCTATAAAAAAAAAAATTTGTGCAAAATAACCAGATAGAATGAACGCGCTCCCCCTTTCCAACTTTTTGTAACTTAAAAACAAAGAGCTAGAAATACAATATGCCATATATGTAGATTTGTAATTAATCAACGTATAACTATTTTGCAAAAAACTTTTGCTGGTTAAAAAAAAATAGTGCTCACACACACACTAAAACAAACAAACAAACAAACAAGAGTAGTAAACATTATTTTCAAACATCTAGTTAAGTATACTAAAAATCGGACTTACTGAGAATGTTTTTCAGCTGTTTTTGCTCCCTCTTCTCATAGTAGGACTTGATGACCACAATAAATGGAACCGATTCAACCTGTCAATGACATAACATTTCATCTACATGACCAAAGCAGGTGAGAAAACACAAGACTAATTTATGCCATATTAATGCCCCCCACCCTCCTTTCTGCACACGTGTGTGTATAGGAGTGTATTTACAAAATGTGGTGCTTTGTAGTTAATGCATTTGCTGACCAGCACAGTGCTGTATGTTCATTACATAAACATCTTTCTTTATACAAGCGTTCAGCGGCTGTAAACTCCAGCAGGCAGTTCTGCATGCACACCAGTTTTACAGATCTGACTTATCTGTATGTAGACTGCTGGTTGCATGCCTCTCAGGCAGATGCGCTCTGACTTTGAAGGAAGCCCCCAATGAGTTGACTCTGATGACATGTTTATTGAGGAGCCAGTGGGTCTATACTTCTTTTTCCCACAATGAGGCCCCTGGAACCCACACTGAGAGTTTCATACAATTCTTCTTCTTCTGTGCAGGTAACTGCGATGTCACTGTTTACAGCATGGCTGTGATATCTGCATCTTTCTCTGTCGACACACCCAACTTCAGGCATCTGTGGCTTCAGTTACCCTTACTGGTCAGATTCATGTGACACTGCACAGCTTAACTGTTGTGTTATCTTTGCTTGGTAGTCCACAAGTGGTATTCCACCACACGTGGATCTACAGCAGCCAGGTAATGCTGGTGAGCTTTCAAGAGAAGGCAGGGATAGAACAGGCAGATGCGTTCCGGCTTCTAAAGACTCTGCTGTACTGCTTTTTACAACGTGCTTGTTAAAGATTTATAACTAAAGCCATAGGCATTTGGGACCTATTCACGTTTACAGGCTCACCTACACACTTTCTCAGTCTGATTTAGGTCAGAGAGGTGTCACGTTGTACTGCTTTATTCTAAAATAGGCTCGCGTGTGACTTAGGTTGAGGATGTGGGTAGGGGGTTTGAGTTAGCGCCAGTTCTACATGTTCTGGGGTCGTTGAAAGCTGCGTCATCGTGTAGTGTAGAACATGCAACATTGGCGCTTTTGTAATTGGAGGAAAGACAACGTGACAACCCTCGGACATAGAAGAGTTTGAGAAAGTATTAATGAAAGGCCAGGTAGAGTGTAGATGGGCCTGGAAACATGAACAGGACCAGCAATTAAAAATAAATGCCACAGGAAAATGATGAATATAACATGGGATGAATTCAAGAGGGGTGAATAAAAAAAGAGAAATTTCTAAGCAAACATTAGCATCAACAGTTATAAGACAGAGAAGCTGGCAATACACTGGACACATCCTGAGAAGAAACCAGCGAAGAATTACCAAACAGGCAATAAAGTGGGGGGAAAGAGATAAAGGAAGTGAGAACACCCAAAAGAAAACCCAAAAACAAATGTCAATGAGAGAGATCAAAGGTGCTGGACTGGATTCCATTTTAAACTGATTTCACAGGATGAAACGAAATGGATGAATAAACTGCGAGCCCTTTGAGACATGTAATGGCACAACAGGACAATAATCAATAAATGTGAAAGGTCAGTGAGCCTATTCTATTTTTTGTTTAAATCCCAAAATGGTGTCCCCAGTACACACATGGGAAACGTGATTAACTGGATTACATCCCTACAACAGAAGTTGGATGGAAAGAGAGGCAGGAAAAGACCAAGAAAGAGAAGGCTGGACAGTTTGCACAATGGTATGGAAGAACAATTGTATCAGAAATAATGGGCTGTGCATGACACACACAAAATGTGGATAAACACAACGACCAATGGACCATGGCACAGGCTAAAAGAAGAGTAATAAAATCAAAGTACACTACCTTTTTCCAGAAGTATCTGGCTGTATGCTCAACCTGCACCCACTGCTCATCATGACCCGTCTGATTAGTCACGTACAGTAACAGAGTTGTGTCCCCTTCCTCTTGGCTGAAAAAGTGATTAATCAAGGTTTATTTACATGACAAAAAAATTGATCAATCACGGTTCATTTACAAGACAGTAAAGTGATTGATCACGGTTTATTTACAAGACAGTAAAGTGACTGATCACGCTTCATTTACAAGGCAGTAAAGTGATTGATCACGGTTAATTTACAAGCCAGTAAACTGATTGATCACGGTTCATTTACAAGACAATAAAGTGATTGATCAAGGTTCATTCACAAGACAGTAAAGTGATTGATCATGGTTTATTTTTACAAGACAGTAAAGTGATTGATCATGGTTCATTCACAAGAGAGTAAAGTGATTGATCATGGTTCATTCACAAGAGAGTAAAGTGATTGATCATGGTTCATTCACAAGAGAGTAAAGTGATTGATCATGGTTCATTCACAAGAGAGTAAAGTGATTGATCATGGTTCATTCACAAGAGAGTAAAGAGATTGATCATGGTTCACTTACAAAACGGTAAAGTGATTGATCAAGGTTCATTCACAAGACAGTGGCCATAATCTGGCTGACTAACAGGAGGGGTGGGGGGGGGGGGGAGAGAGAGAGAGAGAGAGAGAGAGAGGGGGGGGGGGGAGAGAGAGAGAGAGGGGGGGGGGGAGAGAGAGAGAGGGGGGAGGGGGGGAGAGAGAGAGAGAGAGAGAGAGAGAGAGAGCAAAAGAGTTTTCTCACCTGAGAATTGCCGAACGCACTTGCAGAAATCCTGCATGCTGTTCAAAATGCCTGATATCGGTGTGCATGGGCTGTACGCTGGTCCGCAGAGGGCGTTGGAAGGATGGATGCATGATGGTGTATCCTGTTAACATTTGACAAATAAAACACATGATGGTGCATCCTGCAAATAAGTGACATTTGATAAAATAAGATAAAAGTGGCGTATTCTGTGAACAGGCTGATCTCTGACAAAAAGATATATGATAGTGTATCATATCAACAGACTCACATTTGACAAATGAGATAATGGAAGGTGTTTTGTGTGAACACATTGACATCTGACAAATAAGATACATGATAGTGTGTTATGTGAATACTCACATTTGACAAATAAGATAAGATGATGTAACCTGTGAACAGACTCACATTTGACAAATAAGATAAAAGATGGTGTATCGTGTGAACACATTCACATCTGACAAATAAGATATATGATAGTGTATCCTGTGGAAACTCACATTTGACAAATGAGGAAAAAAGATGACATAAAAAAGGAAATAAAGATATATGAGAGGAGTAATTTAATAAATACAAACAGGGTGAGGCATTAAATGGAATACTCCAGGGCCTACAAAAATGTATCAGGTGACTCTTGCCGTGACCTCTATCATTGAGGCTTACGGAAAAATCTGGTGTCAACTTGGCCTTAAAAAGGCAAATCTGGCTCAAAGGAAAACTTCCTAAATGCTACTTGTAGTTAATGTATTCATATTCTAAGCTCCCAAACATTTGCACAGGTGCAAAAACAGCCAATAGCACTAAATATGCAACTCATAAACAGGTCACTACAGAAAAGTTGGGAAAGTCACATTGTGGGGGAGGGGGGAGAGAGATTGGACCTAAACCGAAGCGTCGGTTTTGCAGCTTCCTGTGATGAAAGGGTTCAGGATGATTAACATACCTTGTGTGGTAACTATGAAAGCGTAAGAGTTGTCCGCATGACTGTAGTAGGTAACATCTTGAGCCACATCTTCCATGTGCAGGTCCACCCCTACCAAGCCAATGAGGTGATGAAGATCTGGTTGGTCGGGTAAGGTATGCACACAGGGTTGGCTGAGGCTCATCGTCAGGGCTGTGGGTACAAGAAACTAGAGTGTCAATGTTTGTAGCATGTCTCCGTGTTGTGTATATAAACCATCTCTGTTTTCATTAATCAGCCTCCCCGTGTGGGTTCTGGGACCCCATTGTGGGGAAAACTTCCTCCCCAGCAAACACTCACAAAAGTTTTAATTTAATATCAGATTGCATCTGTCTGAGAGGCAAGGAACCAACAGTCTGCATACAAATATGTCAGATCTGTAAAACAGATGTGCATGCACCACTAAGACTCTGGAACAAGTCCCAAGTCCAGAGGTGGATGAACAACCAGAACTTTCCACCCGAGTTTACAGCCAGTGAATGCAAAGAAGAAGAAGATTAATCAGCTGAGGTCCTTGAAGATGTAGGTCTTCTTCTTATCACCGATCCACTGTAAATTCTGGTGGAAAGTTCTGGTTGTCTGTCCATTTCTGGACTTTGCCCTCCTTTCAGGACTGGATTTTTGGCATGCAGGTCGGTTTTATGTGTGGGCAGACTGTTTTTGTTGGTCGCTCACCTCTCAGGAAGATGCTGGCCACATCTCTGGTTTGGAACATGTTTCTAGGATTAACGAGCAGAGCTGTAGACAGGTCGTAACCATTGTGAGCCTGGTCCTCGTGCACCTGTAGGTCTGCTTCAGAACCTCTGCCTTCCAAGATACAGCAGATAAACATCTCCAAAAAATATGTAAGTTAATGTGATTTTTTTTTTGTATGGTTCTATCACCCCCTAGGTCCTATATGGTTTTAGTCTCAAATCCTAAAAAAAATAATACAGGCATCAGTTAAGTAAAGACACTGCACACACTCTTACCTCCATCTGCTTCATCGATGTAAGGCAGTGAGAACACAGGGTCGTCCTCTGCAGTCCGATTCAGAGGTAAATAAAACCTGCCCACACTTGAGCTCAAGTCTTGGGTAGAATTAATCGCCATCATGATACCCCTCTGCAAAATGGACATGCAACAAGCAAACATGTTGTCAATTTACATAATTGTATTGGCTGTTCATTTGGACAATCTAGAACATTAGTCCGACCCACTCGTGCTCCATCTTTCGATACAGCAGCTGTCAGGCGCTCCATGTTTTAAGTATCTAACAGGAGTTAACTGGTCGCAGTGTCTCCATGTTTAAAGTATCTAGTAGGAGTTAACTGGCCACAGTGTCTCCATGTTTAAAGTATCTAGTAGGAGTTAACTGGTCTCAGTGTCTCCATGTTTAAAGTATCTAGTAGGTGTTAACTGGTCTCAATATCTCCATGTTTAAAGTATCTAGTAGGTGTTAACTGGTCTCAGTGTCTCCATGTTTAAAGTATCTAGTAGGTGTTAATTGGTCTCAGTGTCTCCATGTTTAAAGTATCTAGTAGGTGTTAACTGGTCTCAATATCTCCATGTTTAAAGTATCTAGTAGGTGTTAACTGGTCTCAGTGTCTCCATGTTTAAAGTATCTAGTAGGTGTTATCTGGTCTCATGTCTCCATGTTTAAAGTATCTAGTAGGTGTTAACTGGTCTCAGTGTCTCCATGTTTAAAGTATCTAGTAGGTGTTAACTGGTCTCATGTCTCCATGTTTAAAGTGTCTAGTAGGTGTTAACTGGTCTCAGTGTCTCCATGTTTAAAGTATCTAGTAGGTGTTATCTGGTCTCAGTGTCTCCATGTTTAAAGTATCTAGTAGGTGTTAATTGGTCTCAATATCTCCATGTTTAAAGTATCTAGTAGGTGTTAATTGGTCTCAGAGTGTCCATGTTTAAAGTATCTAGTAGGTGTTAATTGGTCTCAATATCTCCATGTTTAAAGTATCTAGTAGGTGTTAATTGGTCTCAGTGTCTCCATGTTTAAAGTATCTAGTAGGTGTTAACTGGTCTCAATATCTCCATGTTTAAAGTATCTAGTAGGTGTTAACTGGTCTCAGTGTCTCCATGTTTAAAGTATCTAGTAGGTGTTAACTGGTCTCAGTGTCTCCATGTTTAAAGTATCTAGTAGGTGTTAATTGGTCTCAATATCTCCATGTTTAAAGTATCTAGTAGGTGTTATCTGGTCTCATGTCTCCATGTTTAAAGTATCTAGTAGGTGTTAACTGGTCTCAGTGTCTCCATGTTTAAAGTATCTAGTAGGTGTTAACTGGTCTCATGTCTCCATGTTTAAAGTATCTAGTAGGTGTTAATTGGTCTCAGTGTCTCCATGTTTAAAGTATCTAGTAGGTGTTAACTGGTCTCAGTGTCTCCATGTTTAAAGTATCTAGTAGGAGTTAACTGGTGTATCTTCCGTCTTTGCCACATCAACAGGTTTCTGCATGTTTTCCTCGTTTAATACCAATTTCTAAAAGGTGGTTCATCGTCCCCGACTTCTTATAGTCCCAACATCTCTGGAAGGCAGTACATTCAGTATGCCTGCCCTATCCACGTCTTCCTCCACTAACCACTGCAGACACAGCCAGTCACACCTGCAGCCTGTATTAAGCCTACAATCTGTCCACCCATTTTTCCTAATCAGCCTCTGTCTCTTTAGGGACGATCCACTGTCAACATTTGTATATTTCATCACTTAAACTTAAACATAAGTTACTTCTAAACACAATTCAGCAACTGCATTGTTCACAATTGCCAGTAAGTGTCTTTATAAATCAAACTGACTTTCACTGTCCCACTGGAGGTTAACTGTTACATTTTTTTTGTCTTCTGAATTTAACATAACAAGCGCCCTTCTTTCTGTGGTACTGAAACCGTCACTACATCTGCTGCACAAAGCTGCAAACTAACATGTCTCATCAACATCATCCTCATCATCATCATCATCATAAACCACTTCTGCCCTTAAGCACCGTGGGGAGGAATAATTTCTGATCCAGTGGCCACTGGCTACTGTCATGTCGTGAAAGTCCCAGAGTGTCATTAATGTTGTTGATCCATGTTTTCCGCAGCCGTCCTCTTGCTCTTGTAGCTGATCTTCTGAGATGTAGTGCTTGTGATGGTATTTGATCATGCCGCATTCTAACGAGATGGCCAACATGACTATTATGACTAAACATGCCAACTTAAGCCTTGCACATTAGTCAGATACATGCAGTCTCAACATGTCAAAGAAACTTACAATAACAGGTGTTGGTAGTCGATAAGGAACTTCATATCTGGCAAAGTTCTGATAAGCCACATCCTTGAGAAAACTCTTTTCATACATTATTGTTTTGCCATCTGAAAACAATCAATACCATTGTTACTTTTGTTAGAAATTTAATAGTCTTTTTCTGAATAAATTCAATCAAAGTGATTGGCTGAAAAATTCAATTAAAGTGGTTTAATGCATAAATTCTAAAGTGTTTTACTAAATACATTCAATCAAAATGTTTTGCAAGTAAATTTATTAATTCAATCACAGCGTTTTGGCTGAATAAAATTTTACTAAATAAATTCAAAGTATTTTACTAAATCGTAATCTCCCTTTTTTTTTTTTTTTAATGCATACTGTTGTATGCTGAACATTATATACAACAATGAGGAGGAGACAAAGTTCTTTGGTCATTTGATGAGAAAAGGAGCACTGAAAATATTGTGATGACCGGATAGATCAGTGGTAGAAGAGGCAGAAGCAGACCAAGAGAAATGATGGTAGATGGCTTCAGACAGTGGCATGGAGAAATATCATCAGTGGAATTAATCCAGAACACCAAAGACTGGGGCTCAGTGGAGATGCATCAACACCTATGCCAGCTGGCAAGGCACCTGATGATAACAATGATGCAGACTGTTGGTTCCTTGCCTCTTAAACAGATGGACCCCAACTTTGAATGAAACACCCCTAATCAGCTGTACTGCTGTTCCTGTTACCCCGAAAGAGGGCTCCAAAACTCACACAGGGAACAGAATTCACAACAATCAACCCCCAGCATGAAAACACACCAGACCTAAACTACAGCTACCAACTGCACACAGTGTCGTTGTACTCACCATCAATGACAGCATATGTGTTGATGATAACTTTATGGCCTGTCTTGGCATTGTGCACAGCCACGATGTCCATGACTTCTTTAGCCTCCGTCAATGACGACAACAGCCCTCGACTCACGTACAGGATCATTGCGTTCTCTGTAGAGTTGTCATATGAACCCAGTATAAATGAGTGCTTTATAATCTTAACATTTGAATCCACAGGTAACATAAAATAACATTTTAAACTAAACCAACCATCGTTAAATTTCTTCAAATAAGGATAATCCTATGACAGTTCTGGCAAACCAGTAAGAAGTGCATGTGTTCAACTCTTACAGCTCAAGAATCGTGGAGGAAACTAAAGGAAAAGCCTGATTCTATCAGCACTGATAAGACCAGAAACAAACTGAACACATCAAAAAAGTGAACAACAGCTACAGCAAGAAACAAATAGGAGATATTCAGCACGTGGAATGTCAGCAGGCTAAAAAAATAAAGCTCACAGCGCTACATGACAAAAGAGCAAATTAATGATAATAAAGTTACTTATTTGACATTTATCAGACTATTCAAGCTGTCGTTTCTAAGCCCGGATGAGAAAGGAGGAGGATTAGGAATAGAGAGAGCTTCCTTACCTTGTACAACCATCTTACTACAGAAACGTGCAAGAAAAGGATGACATGGACATGGGATCACAAAACAGGCACTAAAATGAGAAATAAACGGTAAGGGGAACGATGATGGGAGAGGCAAGAGGTGCCAGATAGATTTTATATACACAATCTGTTCAAACCTAACACAGGAATAAAGGAACTGACTGCCAGCTTTCTGTGTGACAGATAAAAAGCACAGCACAATAAAAATCATTATTCACATAATTTCACTAACATCTCAGTGTATCAAAACCACTCTTATCTTTCATAAATTTTCCTGCCTCATAAATTTTCACACTCATTTGAAGGTGCAGGGGAGGGAAAGGGGAGTTGTTTTGTGGGGCTTGCTTTTTTTTTCTTGCTTTTTTTTCCATCACACGCATATTTAGAAACACACTTATACTCTCACATACTCCTGTTCACACATACCTTGAGATGAAAATGTGTGTAAACCCACAGAGTGAAGTATTACTTAACAGCTATTACTTGTAAACAGAACAAAGCAGCAACAACAAAACAGATATGAGCCTGACTGATCCTTGCCCACACCTACCTGTGATTGAGTCGGAGGCTAGGAGATCTTCTATCATCTCAAAGGCCCTTAAAAACCCTAATGTATGGTTGGTGGTTGCTGTGAATAGACATTACAACAAATGTTAAAACTGTTTCCTTGTTAACATCAATGTATGCAAAACTGCATAAAAAGAAACTATTTCCATTACAAAAGTCATTTGCCACTATTTAAATTATATCTTTTTATAGAGAACTAGCTGTACCCAGCCACGCGTTGCTGTGGCCCAGTCTGGCTAAATTGAAAAGAAAGGAATCAGAAAGCGCGTGTTTAACTTCACAAATCATTATCTGCGTAGATATAGAAATAGTGTGATAATAGCTGAGGTAGCGTTATTAAAAGATAAACAAATTTTTTTTAAATTAAAACTGTGAATCATGTTTTAAGCTCTCTCAGTTAAGTTTCTATCATCCCCCCCCCCCCCCCCCCCAATCAATCCAACGACTACTCCCCTCTCCCTCTCAGAAGGATTTGAAGGTCATAATATATTTATCTTATTTGACTTTGGCATCCGTGTCCACCCAGATTTAAATGGGTAGCAGGAATTAAAATTAGAAGTAAATGCAGCCAGTGTCATATGTACCACATCAAGCATTGATTGCCAGTACTACCACTACCACCACCAGCACTATAACAACTTTAAAAAAAACTGTCACTTTTGTCTGTTTTACCCCCCTATCCAGGTCGGTGTAGTCAGGGGGCTGTGAGCCAGAGAAGCCGCATGGCTAGTGGTGTCGCCACTGAATGTTCAGGTTAGGATGTTTAACTGTGCTCCCGACAGAGTCATCTTACTAGGGGTGGAACCCAGGTCTCCCGCATGACAGCCCGACGTTGTAACCACCTGGCCAACCACAACTAACTATTCTGTTACTACTACCGCTGCTGCTACTATGAGCAGATGAATCTTGTGGGCAAGGCGGTTAGTGTGACTCTCTGAGATGGGCAGTAATGATGTCATTGATGTCCAGTGACATGCACATCGCGAAGAAGATCGTGTCGTGGGTGGTGGATGTGACAGAGTAGCCTGCAGCACCAAAGGCAAGAGTCGTCTGATTAATTACCACAGAATGGGCGTCATTAGTGGTTTTTTGCACTTGTAGAGCTATGGAGGAAAAGATCTAAGAACCTATGGATCTGTCCGGAATGCTGTGACGATAGTCCTCACTAATCAGTAATCTTTCATTCCCATATCTTTTCATTCCCATACAGTCTCTCAACAGCTTTCTTTCTATTCCCATAACAATTAATTCCAACTTGTATTTATTCCCACATCTTTACAGTCCCAAACAGTCTTTCAACAACTCTTCATCCCCATAATTAAATAATCTATGATCTCCTACAGCTTAATGCATATTTCTAGGCATATTTCTATGCATATTTCTGAGATCAACAGTCAAAGTTCGGGAGCGCGGCAGCAAAAAAGAAACCTGATCATCGGAAAACAACACCAAGATGTCGCTGGTACTGTGTAGCTTAAGCTTTATGCGACACTCTTTTACAAAAAACTGATGTATTTTCGAATGCAACGTTGTGTCAAAATTTGAAAGCAATCGGTGAAGAACTTTAGGAGATTATCTATTAAAAACAAATGAACATTAGTTGGTGGGAACTGTGCGGCTTGTGTCCGCATCTTTGCCATCTAGTTCATAGAACCAGTAAACCCATCTAAGGCAAACACAGGGGGACTGGTACTGAAAGAAGTTAATTTATAAAACCTATTCATTTTTATCTAACCTATTAACAACACGATCAAACCAACTCACAGTCCACTTTCTCTTAGCTGTCAACAAGAATCAGACACAAACAACACATAACTCGGGAGTGTCTGTTGTCCAGACATGTTATGGATTTTTCTGCGAGAGAACTCTGGGTACTGCAGTTTGTGACTGTATCGCCATCAGCCGAAAACAATCCCTCCACGCTGAACTACAGGTTACTTCATCACCAACTTGTGGTGCTCCAATATAACTGCTGATTTATTCTCATTATCTTTCCCATATGGATTTTTAGACCTAGCTGTTATGATCCTGCATCAAGTATATTTAATTTATCTTGCATCTGATTCCGTGAAAGGAACAGAAAAGAAATATTATCAGCAGATGCTGTCTTCATAATTCAATCTATTGCTGGTAAAAACATGAGAAGCAGCAACAAAAGACATCATCCCTGACACACACCTTTTTTTTTTTTTTTTTTTTTTTTTGAACGTCCTGGTAGGTTGAGGGCCTATGTTCCATTGGGAGTTAGAAAGGCAGAAGTAGAAAAAGAATAAGAAAGAATATAACTGTACTATATGGATATAGGGTTTAACAGGGTTTCCAGGATTCATCGTTACATGATTCTCATCCTTGAAATGTTCATCTTATAGAATACAAATTTAGACAAGGAAAAAACTTTTTTTTTTTTTAATTTAAATTTTATAAAATAAAAGTTCAATCAGTTTATGCCATATGATGATGAATGCTCTCTAGCAGCAATGTTCATTTGTCATTCATGATTATGAAGCTGACTAGTTCTGCTTTTCATTTGGTTTGACATACTCTTGGTACTAAAAGAGTTAAATCCTAAAGCTCATCCTTTTCTGTCTAATCTATTAACAACAGAAACAACTCAACTCACAGTCTACTTTCTCCAAGCTGTCGACAAATTTGCTGAAGTAGAATCGGGTTTCAAAGGTGGCAGGGACCATGGTGTGGGGTAGACAAGGATCTGACCTTGGGTACACAGGCTTGCTGGACAGGCCAATCACTCCAATCTAAGTAGAAAAATCAGCCAATGAAAATGCATCAGAAAGTGTGCATCAACAAACAACTGTGCTATAAAACTATGCAGAGTGTTTTTAAAAAATGCATCAGAAAGTGTGCATAAACAAACAACTGTGCTATCAAACTATGCAGAGTGTTTTTAAAAAATGTATAATGTAAAGAAAACCAATTACTCTAAATAAACAATCAGAAAAATGAGAGAGAAAACATAATATAAATTATGTATTTCAGAAAGACAATTAAAAAGTTTGCTTAGTAGAATACACAAATGACAATCATTTTGAATTATGCTGTAAAAAAAAAAAAAACTAAACTAAAGGGCAGATGGGCAAGAGAGAAGGGGGAGAGGGAGGGAGGGAGAGAGATAGAGAAAGAGAGAGAGTGGGATGGCGGGTACAGAGAATAGATGGGGGGAGGGAGAAGAAAAAAAGAGAGGAGATAAATGCGAGGAGAAGACTGATGAGGGAAGAGAGAAAGAGAGATCTGAAGAGAGGTGTGAAGGACAGAAGGAAGACTGACAAGTGTAGCATGGTTAAGAAGAAGAAAAACAAATGCAAGAATAAAGAAGACTGAAAAACGGTGAATGGAGAGAGGACCCCAAACACCCAAATATGGGAGACGTGGAGGGTTCACAGACAGACCACTTATATGAACTGTCCCTACATGCAGTTACACTATTGAGAACCACCACCACCACCACCACCACCACCACCACCACCACCACCACCACCACCACCACCACAAGAAGATATTTAAAAACAAACCCACCCTGTCATTGTCAGAGAAGGATGCAATCAGATGCTTGGTGATGGCCTTGGCCGTGCGCAGCTGTGTGACACTCATGGAGTTGCCGTGGTCCATGACGATCACAACATACTTCCGCTGTGGCTGTATGGTGTGCAGGAACACATCCCTGCAACAAACACAGACATTTACAGTGACATCACTAACTATAAGAATTGCAAAACTGATATAATCAACACTGTAGGGCTGTTTCTGGCACCTCTGCGTCAATCCATATGATAATGTTATATACTGTGCTATCAGGAGGCATTCACATGCTCAAGCTCTCGATCTTTCTGAGATAATTAATTTACCTTTATTCCTAACCTCATCCTAATTTCCCCTTCTTTCAACACGGTCCGTGGTATTGTGTCCCCACCAATATACCTAAATATATGTATTATTAATGACCCGCTTGTGGTCTTTATATCGTGGTAGATGCAGTCCTCATTTGTGAAGGCAGCACATTTTTTTATGGCGATACAGTGTCTTGTGGAGCAGTGATTGATTGGAGCAATGACAGTGTCTTGAGGAGCAGTGATTGGTTCGAGCAGTGACAGTGTCTTGTGGAGCAGTGATTGGTTGGAGTAGTGACAGTGTCTTGTGGAGCAGTGATTGGTTGGAGCAATGACAGTGTCTTGTGGAGCAGTGATTGGTTGGAGCAATGACAGTGTCTTGTGGAGCAGTGATTGGTTGGAGCAGTGACAGTGTCTTGGAGCGGCAACAGTGTCGTGTTGGAACAGTGCTTATCTAGTCTCCACCTATTCTTTGCGCTCACCGGTTGTCAACTCCGACGGGAGAAAAGTCCGACTATTCGCCCACTTCTAGATTTTAGTCTTGACCCAAAAATTGCATTTTGCGTGTACATCCGTTTTGCAGTTGTGCTGTCAGAGCATGCTGTTGGTTTCTCGCCTCTCAAACGGATGAGCTCCGAGGACTGAAAGAAAGAGTTTAAAACTGTCGGAGAGGGGGGAGGGAATGAATTTATTGTAAGACGACGTCGCGTATGCAAGACGAATACATCACAACAATGCCAAAAATCCGACTGGCAGCTCCCAAAGCCGGGACCAGCTAAATCAGCCGCAGGAAGCCAGGTCGCCAGGATCTAATCCTGCGCTAGTGTACGACAACACGACTGTGTGCTCAGCCCAATTGCTGTCACACACACACAAGAAACATCAGCATTTCTTGTGCCTCGCCCCACCCCCTGTTGTCATAAAATAAAGTATGCCTGGCAAATATATAACCTTTCATCTTTATTTCTGTTTATTTGCTTCGCCCGCTGACTCTTATTAAGGATATTTTTCCCCGGTAATTTTTACTTGATCAAGGATGGTTAGGAAAGTAAGCTGTCTCCGTACAAGTACTGCTAACACTATACTGCATCAGAGAGACACACAGAGAGAGAGAGAGAGAGAGAGAGAGAGAGAGAGAGAAAGAGAGAGAGACAGACAGACAGACAGAGACAGAGAGGGAGAGAGGCGAAAGGAGTAGAGTCATCACAACATTCGTACTTCGCAACTAGACTTTTTGCCTCTATCTAGTCAGATAACAGATAGGTACTGTTCTCTAATAAAGATAAAATATACATTCTTCCCTAAAAAGGAAAAACGTATTTAATATAAACTCTGTTTTCTAAACAAGATAATATTTGCTGTTTCCACTCTAAGAAAGATTATATACCCTGTTTTCCTTTAAGAAAGATGTTCTATGCTGTTTTCCATTCATAACATATAATGACCAGTTTGAAAAAAAAAATAAAGATAAACAATTTCCTCTAAAAATAATAATAATATAAGACGTTTTTCTTTAATAAAGGCAATATGTGCCGTTCTCCGTGAAAACATAATAAACAATGTTTACAATTTCCCTGGGATACATCAAGCCAGTTTCTCAACTTCCCTAACGCCGCAACCCTTTAAAAATACAGTTCCTCCTGTTGTGGCGACCATAAGCATACAATGATTTTTGTCGCTACTTTCTAACTTTATGGTGTTTTGCGATGGTCTATATGAAAGGGTCGTTCGGGACCCCCCCCCCCCCCCCCCTTTTTTTTTTCCAGCAATTTTTCTATTAATAGAAATTCTTTTTTGTATTCGGTTTTGATTTAGAACCAAGGAACGAATGATGTGTGATCAGCTGTGGTTTTTTATGTCCAACTTTTAATTTATGTGACTTTTTCCTTTTAAAATTGTTTCTGGTTTTACTAGAGAAATCTGGCCTCCACACCTCTACGGTTTACTTCACTACATCATTGGGTTGTTTCTGAGAATTCTTCTTCTTCTCCTCCTTCTTCTTCACTTCCTCTTTTACCGCTGCGCGTGTCGAGGAAGATAAAAAGTGGCTATTTTTGTGGAAAACCTCTTGGGGACTAAAACAGACAGGAATCCATGCATTGAAAGACAATTCAACGGGGTGAGAAGTGGTGTTCTGGGAGATATTCAACAAAGGGAAAACATGGGTGGACTTTTTGTGTGTTGTTCTAATCAGGTTGCAACTGTTACTATATAGCAATGTCAACTCTTTCGTTAGTTACTGAAGAAGGTGAGACGGAGCACGTGTGGGAATGCCCCAGGTGCAGTGATGCCAATTCTTGATTGTAATCCAGGTGCAGTGATGCCAATTCTTAATTGTAATCCAGGTGCAGTGATGCCAATTCTTGATTGTAATCCAGGTGCAGTGATGCCAAGTCTTGATTGTAATCCAGGTGCAGTGATGCCAATTCTTGATTGTAATCCAGGTGCAGTGATGCCAATTCTTGATTGTAATCCAGGTGCAGTGATGCCAATTCTTGATTGTAATCCAGGTGCAGTGATGCCAATTCTTGATTGTAATCCAGGTGCAGTGATGCCAATTCTTGATTGTAATCCAGGTGCAGTGATGCCAATTCTTGATTGTAATCCAAGTGCAGTGATGCCAATTCTTGATTGTAATCCAGGTGCAGTGATGCCAATTCTTGATTGTAATCCAGGTGCAGTGATGCCAATTCTTGATTGATTCATTCTTTCTTGGGACTGAGAGTGTTGAAAAGTCATCTTAGATTTGACGATGGCGTCACGGGCGGTTCAGCTCTACAGACTGGGACCCGAATGTTGTTTCTCCTTCAGAGCTGCTCATTTTCATCTAAGGTGATTACCGAAAATGGTTTTCTTAGACCGGCCTCAAGTTTTCCCCCACATCGGCTTTACACTTCAGGGCTTCCGTTGGTGGTATTTCCTCTTATCAAACTTCTGCAAAATCTGCTCCCATCAAAGCGGGAGGGGGAAGGGACGCATGGCTTTCTCATGGCAATTCTCTGAACATCAGCAATCGATGGAAGGGACAGCGGGCTTCCTTATCTCTGGGCAAAACATTTAATTCGCTCGCTTGGCATAGGATACGCGTAGGTATAGTTTTTCTGCTTATCCAAAGAAAGCTTCCAGGTCCACCCAGCCCTGAGTGGGTACCGGGTGCAGTCCTGGGAAGTAAAGGCGGTCGGTGTGATGCTGATCACAACACCAATCTTGTGCCGTTGGTCTATATAATATAGGTCTATACCTATTTACCCCATACGCCTGAAAGGCGCGCAAAAGGGTCCGTTACAGTCAGAAAGTGGAGAAGCTCTTAAAAGGGCGATTGGCCTGCTGCGCTGGTGTTTCACCACAGGCGCCTTTCAGCCCAACATATCTGACTGCAACAAACCCTTTATTAGTCGCCTATTACGACATGCTTGTCAAATAAAAGATTCTTTGTCCTGCATTCAGACGTATTGGGCATATAAGGCTGCACCTATATTTTATAAACAATCGGCACTCGTTGGATGATCTGGTCAACATCTCACCAGCTGCTTTATTTCCTACAACTTAACCTGATACCTGGAAACTTCAGTCTGGGTCCTACTTTAGTCCTACTAAAATTGAATCTTTAAACAAATAAAATAGCGGCTAATTATCTGGCTGATAATTTTGTGTGGCCCGCGAATCATGTTGTAAAGCAGTGGCTCTCGACCTTCCTAATGCCGCGACCCTTTAATACAGTTCCCTCATGTTGTGGCGACCCTTTAATACAGTTCCCTCATGTTGTGGCGACCCTTTAATACAGTTTCCTCATGTTGTGGCGACCCTTTAATACAGTTCCCTCATGTTGTGGCGACCCTTTAATACACTTTGCTCATGTTGTGGCGACCCTTTAATACACTTCCCTCATGTTGTGGCGACCCTTTAATACAGTTCCCTCATGTTGTGGCGACCCTTTAATACACTTCGCTCGTGTTGTGGCGACCCCCTTTAATACACTTCGCTCATGTTGTGGCGACCCTTTAATACAGTTCCCTCATGTTGTGGCGACCCTTTAATACACTTCGCTCATGTTGTGGCGACCCTTTAATACACTTCGCTCATGTTGTGGCGACCCTTTAATACACTTCGCTCATGTTGTGGCGACCCTTTAATACAGTTCCCTCACGTTGTGTCGACCCACAAACAATTGTTTTCCTTCAATGAATATGTGTTTTCTGATGGTCTCGGGCGACCCATGCGAAAGGGCGTTCAACCCACAAAAATGGGGGAGGGGGCGCGACCGACAGGTTTAGAACCGCTGTTGAAAATGATCAACTGATTCTTGCAGGCGCTGAAAGGGGAAAAGAGGGACAGAGGGAGGGGGTGGGGGTCCAGCCCCACGCCCCCATGATTGGACTAAGAGTTGTAGATTTGTTTCTGGTATCTATAACAGTGGTTCGTTCCCAATTAGTTAAAACCGACAGCATCTCATATTCTCGAAGGTCTGTAACGGAATCATACCTGTTAGCAGTTATAATGAACACCTTCGTATTTGTTATGTATAAACATTAGAATCGCGACAACAAAACAACAACAAAGAATCCTTTTTCTTATTTCTTCGCGTTCACCGGTTGTAAACTCCGGCGGAAAGTTTCACAGTGCATATTTGTGTATGTGTGTTGAGTTGTCTTTATGTGCTGATGAAGGTTAATCGCCGCAACGTCCTCTGTTTGTTCATTGTAATTGATTTTGTAAAGCTGACATAAATATTCGTTTTTTGTTAATCTCTCTTTCTTCTCTTCCCTATAATTTCCTACCCCTTTTTAAAACGTATAGCTTTACCGCAGCCAAAGTATTTGTGGTTTTTCGCAGG